AATGCTTTCCTCTGACTCGCCCACGACCCACATGCTCTTCTTGTCGTTATGGATCATCCCCAAAACTTTCATATTGTGGCTCCAACTGCAATAAAGCCAAATATACAAGAAGCATTTGGTTTGTTTTAATTATTTGGGGCTTAAAAAAAATAAAACCTCTTAGTATACAGTATAAGAAATAAAACCCAACTGCACCATATCTAGAACTGAGCTTAACTGTATGTCAATAGAAGCTGCATTCATGAAAAGTTAAATATTACATTTAAAATCAGTGGATTTACAAGGCGCGGTCCTGGAAATATCAGTTTCAGCTAACTAGAGCAACGATTAGGGCTAACGTGATCAATAAATTCTCTCAAAAGTAATAAATATCTGCAGAAATTTAAAATACTAACAAAAACATAATGTTACGGTCACCTCCCAGATAAATATGTTTGATTTAATAAACATTCATCTGTCTCAATTCAACAAGTTAAAACTAAAATTCACATAATAATGAAAACATTTGGCCCAAAATTCAAAACTTAATAATTAGCCATCAACTTAGACAATGATTCATTAAAACAACCCTGACCGACCCCAGAAAAACCTGGACAAAATGCAGTAGAGTGTATGTGGTGTTACCTCACGACTTTGTGGGACAAACTGTCCTTGTCAAAAATTGTAACGTTAAATATTGTCCCAGCGTTTGATACACCGAGAAGAACTGAGCAGTAGTAGAGGCGGACCACTGGCTCCTCCACCATGTACGTGGCTACTTTCACCAGGCTGGGAGAAACAGAAACACATGACAGAGCAGCACTGGTTAGTGTGTAAAATCTAACTCCAAGTCGCTCACAAATTGACCTCCATTTTATCGCACATGCTCTGAAACCCAACACAACTTACAGAGGCGTTTCAAAACATCAACAACTCCCCTTACAATATCAGGGAGTGTACCTGAGAGTTTGCATGACTATCAGACTACTGTGGTGTAAAATAATGTAATACATTTACTCAAGTACTGTACTTATACAAATACCTTAGAATTGTACTTAAGTGTTTTAATTTTATGCTACTATATGCCCCTAGATTTCAGAGGTAAATATTGTACATTTTCAAATAAGCCACATGACCATATAACAAAAATAACAAAAAAAAAATTGTAACCTTGACAGAGCCCATTTTTTGTGTAATGAATACTTTTATTTTTATAATTTAGCTTCATTTTGCTGATAATACATACTTTTACTTAAGCAAGGTTTGGAATACAGGACATTTACTTGTACTAGAGTATTTCAAAATGTTGGTATGGCTACTTTTAAGATCTGAACAATTGTCTAACTGAAATGTCCTGTTTCCTATTTGCAGTAATAAGAATAGTAGATTAGATTAAAAGGCCTTGTGTGACTTTCAGCTCTTTGCCCTTTAGTTCTTCTATATAAACTTATTTATAACTCTCATTACTTAAAGTCTCCTTCTTCCCAAAAATGTGTTTAGCTTATTGTTGTTTGTCACTTGGCTGTTTGAGCTTTTACTGTGCAGTATTATGTTTGTGCAGAATTTAACAAGGGAAGTCCGTTTTCAAATTCATCTGCTGAGCTGACCTGAAATCGATGTTTAACAAGTGTGATGTGGAAACCTGAAAGCCCCAGCACACACTGACAATGGACTTTTCACATTGCACATTTATAAATTCTGGATTTTTCAATGAGGATGCAAATGTTTAATCAGTCAATCCAGTTAATTATATTATTATTCTAAGCAGTGTTTTGTCTGGAGGGGATCGTCAAAACTATGTGAAGTTTAACCAAGAATTAGCAGATTTCATATTGTCTTGATAAAACCCCCACTGCAAATCAGGTTTATTGTCAAAATGTACAGACTTTCAGGTGTTTGCAAGGGACAGATCAAACAAAATCAATGATCAATGAAATAGCTCAACACAACTAATGCACAACAAAAGTTTTCCCCCCAAATTTAACTAAAAATGCAGCTTATAATGATGTCTCAAAATTATTCAGCGCTCTGAACAGAATCCCTCACAAGAGCACAAATATGCAAAACAGGTGTTTGCTCAAGCACACCTGATTAGCTGCACCAGGCGAGCTTGAGCTGGAACACATGAAATACCTGAACTGACTAGGGGTTTGTTGAGTGTCACGTTTGACTGCATGTTAGAAATATGGCCACGTCAAAAGAATGGTCCAAAAAGTTAAGAGAAGAGATCATCGTCCTTCATAAACAAGAAACAGGATACAAAAATATAGTGAAGGCCCTCAATGTTCCTAGAGACATTTGTATAGTTTGCAAGTTTAAAGTTAAAGGAACTGATTTGCAGTGGGGGTTGAACTGTATATAGGCATGACAAGTAGCAGGGAACTGGTACAACGTCAAAAAAAAGGAAGTTACAGTGTGCCTTGCAATATTATCCTTCAATTTTATCTCTTTTCTGATTTTATACCACTATTCAAAGCGGCAAAGCTGCTATAGGATTATAAGAAATGTTTAGAAGCTGCTTCAGAAGCCAGTTTGTATTTCCCAGAAAGCCGAAAGGTTCAAATATGTGACTGCTCCAAGTGAGTCTTTTGGTGGCTGCAGTAGAGTCGTGTCTGACGGCATCCTGCTAATGTGGCTTTCAATCCAAATCAGTACTAATCTCTATCAAGACGGATTAAAATGTAAATGTAGGTAATGGGATGCTTTGATTTTGCACATTAATCAGATGTGTAGTTCTCACAGCTTTCAAATAACTGCAAATTTAAGGTATTATCAATTCAATAAAATGTAAACTGGTTTCAATAAAAGTGTATTTGTTGTTTTATTCTGTTGCTTTCATTCCCTTCTTTATTGTAAATGGGAAGGGAATGAAGGTTTCAAAAAACAAGATATCAAAATGGAGGATAGTCCTCTATGGTAGCTTAGTTGCTGTTGTTTACCTTGCAGTGCTATGTTGTTGATTCCACACCGGCTTCCACACATCAACGTTATGTTTCATGTAGCTGACAGCAAACTGGCTGTCAGGCATGGAACAGGCCGCTGTGATGATGCTGTCTGAAACCTGACACACACAGACACATCATGTGATTACACAAACACAAAACATTACATATGTCCAGTTTATATCCTTTTTTGGTGTATGTCTTCACCTGCTTGTGGCCAACCACAGTGTTGTGCTGCCATAATTCCAGAAAACCAGATTCATAACCAGCCAGAACCAAATCATCCGTCTGGGAGTAGCACAGAGCTGTGACTTTGCCTCTGAGGCAGGGAGGATCCTCTGGAAAGACAGAGCACAGAGGTAAAATGGAACAATTTTCAAAAGATAGATCACATATCATGTATCAACCCAGTACCGTCTCCTTCACTGAGCAGCATCAGGTGACTACTGTGACTAGCAATATATAGAGAAGAGAGTAGTTTAACTCTTGATGTGATTGACCTGGGACATTGTGACTATTAGTGGATGAGTGTGCGTTTTGAAGACATAATTAAACTTTCACGGGTTGCTTTGAATGTAAAAAAGGCAATTGCCACACGGTGCACAGTGAAGGTGAAGGCAGGTTTCTCTCGGTTAGTGTGATACAACTATTTTTTACCTGAAATTAATCTTTACACAATGCAAAGGCAGAATATTTGCAATGAGTGCATGAACTCAATCTACTGTATACAGTAAATAACATTTTTAGTTTAACCAAGGTTTGATTTACTGAGCTGAGTTGATAAAAGTGCTGATTCACTCAACTGACTCACTGTGCGCCGAAACAATGAGCATGAGCAGCAGCAAGAGATTTACATACTTTGTTTCAGTGTAGTCCAGCCTTATTAGTGAAGACTGTTGGAGCTGAGTGCAGCCTGTAAGAATACCTGAAGACACTACTCGGGGCTTAAACAAATAAAAATGCTACCACTATCCTTATCAGGGTTATTAAATTTTATCTTTAATTTCATTTACAGTAAAATTCTCCTACAATACTACAAAAAATGCCATTAAACATCATTCAAAGACAAAACGGTAAAGCACAGAGGAAAGATGCATATACAACACAATCAGCTGTCAGAATGTATAAAAAGGTATCTACTAATACTACATTGTACTAACTACAAAATCTTTAAGTGGTTTTTAAATGGTATTACTGTATATAAAAGGCAGTATTATATAACATATTACCTGTTGTCCATGTCCAGCATCGCAGTGAGCAGTCTTCAGAAACAGAGAGGAATTCTGGGAGTCCTTCTTTGCGAACAACTCCACATATCGCACCGTTGTGACCATGTAAGGTGCTGAAGTGCTCCACCTGTGCGTAAATATACGCAATGTGAGAGGGGAGGCAAAAGCAGAAAAATAAGTGACAATGTCCACGCTTATTTCGGTCAAGAACCTTACGGAAGTAATTTAGCTTGATTTATTTTTAACCTCGTAAAACCCAATTTTGTCCACTTGTAGTTTCTTCAAAGTAAGTAAGTACAATTTCTTTTAATACGACAGAAATATTAAAGTATATTGGAGACAACTCTTTATTTCGACCGACAGACCTGTAGCGGTTTCCACAGCTGCACTGTGCCATCATCAGACGCAGTGAAAACAGTCATGTCTTCGGCGTTGACTTCTTTGTTCTCATCTTAAATACAAAAACACAAAAGACTATGAATATTAAAAAAGGACTCATTATACTGTTTAATATGAAATAAAGAGGGAGAGATAAATACAGAGAGTGAATGTGTGTGTGCACTTGTTTACTTGTATTTGGTAGGAGAGAGCAGTGGTGTATACGCTGCTTGTGTGCAGCAATGTGGCAGATTTCTGTGCTTGCTTCCCAGGTCCAAACGTGTAGCGCTCCCTCTGCACAGCCAGCCACCACATACTGCCCCTGCACACAGAAACACAGAGTCAACAACACAGAAATCCCCTAATAAACGTTGAGGGTTTACTATATGTCTCAGGAGAGAAAACAAAGACAGCTCTGACCTGCAGTTAAATCTCTACGCTACACACAATCTGCGAAGCTCTTTAAATCCATCAGTACAACAAGGAAATGAAGCTTTTTCAGGCCAGAATGTAACAATACAAATTGTATTTTCTCTGACAGATAAATTTACTCACCACACAGCAAACAGATGTAAGAGGACTCCTCCAGGAGATTTCTCTGAGACGTTGGCCCGCCTGCAGATCCCATAAACAAAGCCTCCCGTCGTTTGAAGAGCTAATCTGGAACAAATTACGGAAACACAATAGTGATGTATATAACAGTATAGTAATAGGACTTTCTCAGGTAAGAGCTGTTGTTCAGTTCAGTTACATTTCTTTACGACACCCGTGAAAATTATGTTATGAAGATTTACCACACAGTCTGGAGTCCAAACACAGCTGGTGATCCAGTCTCTGTGAGAGTGAGGGAGAGACTTGGAGAGAACAGCAGGAGACACACTCACATCCCACACCATCAGGGCCTGAAACAAAGACACCAGTCAGTACTGCGCTACACTGACCAATCCTACACTATTTATATCACCGAGGGTAGGCTAAATAACAGAAACACCTTTCTGTGTAACACCCTAGATGAAGGGAGGATTAATTACAGGACTGTTATTTTAGACTGCATTAGCTTCAGCTAGGGGTACTTAATAAATCATGATTATATAGATTTGAGGGAAAATGAACACAGTCCAACCCTACAACCAAAAAACAACCAAACACCTGCACAAAGGTCAATGTGCAGCAAAAGTCAGTGTTTCTATCAAAAACAAAATTCTGATACTGCCACAACACTAGAGTACAAACACATGTACCTGATCTTTTCCACCGGACAACAGCTGTTCACCATCAGGACTGAAAGCCAGACAGGTGGCTCCTCCACTGTGGCCCCTCAGATATGCATGAGGCTTAATGTGGGGGTCGAGGGCCAGTTCGCTCAGCAACCACAGAACAATGGTGAAGTCATCTAATTTATAGAAGGGAAAATAATAAAAATAGTTATTAGCAGAAAGTTATTAGGAGACCGGCTGTGAAATGTTGCCTGGGAAAACAACATCTATTTCTCTGGAGTGTAAGTGCATTTCTGTAATTTCAGGTCTTGTTTTTACTTTACCATCAGCAACACATACCTGATGCTGTAGCCAGGTATGTGGAGTTTTGTGCCAATGCCAGGATGGCGCCTGTTTGCACACCAAACGTTCCCAACATTTTCAGGCCTCCCAGCATTCCCTCCTCTCCTCCTTCCCTCTTCCAGACCCTCAGACGTTTGTCACTTCCTCCAGACACCAGCAGCTCAGGTTCGCTCTGCTCTGCATTCAGGACGACCCACAGCAGGCACAGTATGGACACATCAAGGTTCTGGGAGGCCCAGATCTTATTACCTACGATTAAAATAAAAACTGTTATGGTCATATTCATTTTGTGCCATATTTATACAGTATGTTTTATGTGTTTGTTTTTCATTATTATATCCATCAATGTTTTATGGCTTTCTAACTCCTGTATCAGATTTATATCCTTGACATATTGCCTGCTAACTAGTTTTGTTTTTAGGTCCGTTACTCGGTTGGCTTTTTATTCATTAATTAATGTTTTTGTTGGTTTTTTATTGTAAAAACCAAACAGCCTATAATTTCCTAAGTAAAGTTTCTTAATAACACACAGAGCAGAGCAAATGTCTTGAAGAACTTCACGATAAAAGACCCAAGCCAGACAGAAAATACAGACACAATAAAAAGAAGTGTAAGAAAATATGTTATAAAATTAGAAAAAAGGAAGAAACCCAACTCAAAGTTGTCCAATCAAATACTGGTCCTAGTGAAATGTTTAAGAATTTTGTAAAGATGATTTTTATTTTACATTCCTGGCACATAAACAAACCTGAGTCAATAGTGAAGAGTTTGACGCCATCACCATGGTATCCCCAGCAGTATAGTCTCCATTAACAGCCACACACAGAGCAGCAGGTCCAGAGGTTGGAGACCTCCGTTTCTTCTGAGGAGGCTCCAGTTCGCACTAAAAGACCAAATAACAGGATCCATTTAGAAAGAAGATTTCTTTTAAAAAACATACAACTTATACTTACTTATCTCCCACATTGGATGTTAGGAAGAGATAACTTAATACCCAGTATGAACAGTAGGGTGATTATAGCAAGCAAAAACGGTTTCAACGAACATACGGACACCTGAAACAGTGGACATTATTCTTTCACCAAATGCCAGATGTCGTTAATCAATCCTGCCTCAACACTTCATTTACACGCAGACTATGGCAACTGCAAGCAACATGAAGTTAACACTTACACACAAGATAAATAAGGAGCTTACTCTGTCACTTACTTCTTCACGTTTAAAAGTAGTGACTGAACGTCCAAGTCCTCCTGACCAGAGGCGGAGCTGTTTGACAGAAGGACAGGACACAGAGAAAAAGGAGGCTATTCATTTAAAAGAATTTACAGTGTGCTCACAAACAGATGCTGAAACAGATGCTGATGGTCTGCATTGAATTTCAGGTGGGTGCTGTGCATCGAATAAGCACTCTGATGCAATGTGTTCTTTTAAAAAGCACTTGAGTGTTAAAGCAAATTAATCTCCTAATGTCTCATACATTTATGTGAATTTTATTTACAACTAATGAACTGACAAAACAGTATTTTATGACAAAACAACAAATCATAATTTATTTGTAGTTTTTGGTTAAATAGTAATTAAGCCGGTAAATAGTGTAATAATTATATTATTAATCCAGCTACTCTGGTTAAATTCAAGAGAGTTAAGTTTAATTTATCTGATCCAGGTTCACTATGTACTGGCAGCGATGGCTCACCATGTGATCTGAGCCAGCGCTCAGCAGCATGCGTCCTTCATCCAGGAAGGTGAGAGACTCCGTGGCTCCGAAGTGAGCCTGGAAACATCCCACACAGGTGGAGGTGGAAACTGACCACACCCTCACCTCTCCAGCAAAGAGCCAGAGCAAAGCATGGGGGAGGAGGGAGAGAAGCAGAGACTGCGCACTGAGTGCTGGTGACCGGACAGGGACTGAGCGAACAGACAGAAGAGATTTTATTTTTAAAAACAAAACAATTATTACTTCAGGTTGAATAACCAGAACCTTCTGGTTGTTAGTCATGCACATTAATATTACACTGAGAGGATTAGCTGACTGAACCATCTTAAAAGAGTACTCGACTGATTTAGCATTGCACTCCGACATTGACAGACTGGCAGTTAAAAGAAGGTCAATACAGCAGCCACAATCTTCTTCCTTGTTAAAACCTGGTGCCTATATT